AGATACCACTGCACTCTAGCCTTGGCAACAGAGCACGACTCCGTTCAAAAAAAAGAAAAGAGAAAAGAATACTTTATACAGGAATTCTGACCCATGCATAAGGCCTGGGCTTTTGATATCAGATGTGGGAGAGCACTAAAAGCAAAGACTAGGGCAGCCACACAGTTATTCAAAGAGTTAAAAGTCTAAAGAGAAAATGGACTTAATATGTACACAGGTGTTTATTTAAAAAGCTTTTTTGCTGGAATTAAGTTATATCTTTACCTAGACACAAAACAGTTGGAATAAGTCAATGTTTTATTTACTTTAAAAATTCTATTTTTCTAGAAAAGGCAATATTGAAAGGAATGTCTGCTAAGCAGGAATTAGTCAAGTTATTTTGAGGGGGGTAACAGAGAGAGGAGGGGGCTTTGAGAAACAGCATTCCAGGCAAAAGGAAAAGTATGCACAGAAGCCTGGCGGGCAAGAAAGTGCATGTGCTCAGGGACCCTCTGGGGGTTCAGCTTGGCTGGAGCTCACCCAGGGCAGCAAGAGATGAGTCTGGAGCGAGGGCAGTGGCTGGTCTCAAAGCGCTCTAGACATCAGGATGGGGGAACTCGAGAGAAGGAAAGGGTCCCAGGAGCGGCATTCAGTTTGTGGACATGTGGATATGCCAGTAGGTAGCTGAATAGATGGTTCTGGAGATCAGGAGAGAAAGCCAACTTGGAAATTATTTGGAAATCATCAGTTTATGGATAGTAATTGGAGACATGGAAGCAGAGACTGCTTGATACTGGGGGAGAAGAGACCAGGGCCAAGACAGGGCCTTGAGAAATATGCCTAAGGGTGACCGAAGAAAAGGACTGAGAAGCAGCCAGAGGCAGGAGAAAACCAGGAGACAATGGTGAAAGGCAGCCGCAGGGAGAGCATCGAGAAGGTGGGGAGGGGCTGGCAGGGCCAGTGTTGAGGTGAACCCAGTGTCTGGAGGTGACTCTGGGAGAGCCCCTGCGGCTGGGCAGGCTGGGGTAGGAACTGCGCCTCCTCCGCTACAGGAGGAGATGGGAACATTGATGCAGGGATGTTTAGGGTCTGGGTAGCAGGAAGCTGAGAAATTTCTCAAATGACAACCTCAAATTTTCTCTCTGAGAGTAAGGCACAAGATGGTGGGGTAAGATTTGAGGAGAACGGGGAGTTTGAAATAGGATCCATCAGAAGCACAGGGACTTCAAGAGTTCAAGACGATGGACTGAGCACATGCACCATACTAAGCGAGCGCAGTAAAGGGAAAAAGATAAAAAACAAAATACAGACTCTTAGTGGACCACAGATCTGGAGAATCTTTAAGAATGAAGATAGGCCGGAAGCCACGGCAGTGGGCAGGGGCTGCTGCAGAACTGCGGAGGCCCAGGCTAAGTGACAGTTCATCCTCACTGCGTCTCTACCACAGACACTGCACTAGGCACTGGCTTCTGCTGCAAAAGATGAGTGTGAACTGAGAATGGGGGTGGGGCGTGAGGAAAATACAGTGCAGGCTCCAGTGGAGAGGAGAGAACACGGGTATGTAGAGGCGCCAATCGGAATAACGGGCACTCTTTCTTGGGAGCCCAGGTGTAAGAGCTGAGTTGGACTGAGCTCGAATTGGAGTTTGCTGAATGGGAAGATGGAAGGGTGACAGGGGCCAGGGAAATAAGGATATTAGCAAGAATGCAATTCAGCCAGTTATCTTAGAGCTGGAGTTGCAAATCACATATGCAATTGAATTCAACTATTTTTAGTCATATATTATATTAGTCATAAACTATATTTAGTCAGCATCCATCACAGACCAAAGAACTGCCATCTGCCCTGTAAGTTAACGATCATTTAAAACTGACCTTCTCAAACTTCAGCAGGCGCAGGGATCCTGCCGAAATACAGACCCTGACTGAGCGGGGCTGGGCAGGGCCTGAGGCTCTGCATTTTTCACCAGCTCCTGGCTAATGATGCTGTGGTGGGTCTGAAGACCACTCTTTTTTTAAAAAAAATGTATTTTTTAATTGACGAAAATGATATATATGTATCATGTGCAACACAGTGTTTTGAAATACGTATACATTTGGAATGGCTAAATCGAGCTAATTAGCATGCATTACCTCACATACTTACCATTTTTTGTGTTGAGAAGACTTAAAATCTACTCTCTTAGTGATGTTTGAGAATACATTGTCACTAACTAGCATCACCATGCTGGACAATGGCGCTCTTGAACTTATTCTTCTTATCTAACTGAAACCGTGTCCTTTGACCAAAGCTATGCACCAACCCCCAGAATAGTGAAACCCCACTCTGAATAGTGAATTTGAAAAGGTGTTGCTTTACCTTGTGGGGAGCTGACCTGCCCTATGGTACGGCTTACCAGCCAGGTGCTGGAGCCCACACTGTCACATCTCCAGAACCTCTGTTAGCCAGCTGACACCATGTGACAGGTTGAAATTGGCCATAATAGGAGTTTTTACATTACAGAAATCTACAAATCAAGGCTGGCTACACCTATGTAACAGTGAGGCGTGCTATAGAATAGGCTTCTTCCTCAGGGATCATGAGAGCAAGTTTTCAGTTGGCCTCTGTGCTTCATTCATACTTTGATAACGAGGCCATTGGTCCCGACTGCTATGTCACATGTTGTGCCTTCTGGAAAGCATTAAGGGAACTGACTTATCTCTGCTGCATCAGAGGACCTAACAGAGGCATACACTTGCTGATACCCTGTTTGTCCTATGAGCCAACCTGGAGAAGTAGGCTTGTGGGAAGAAAGAGGGGGACTGCGAGGTTGCTATGGGCAAAGAGTGACTGGCTGGACATTCTCACCCATGTTGCACTGTATTTCCCCAGCTATCTCCGAGCAATAGTCTGACCTGGGCACAGGTGTACCAGGGTGCCCTTTCAAAGTCCCAGGGTGCACTACCAGGCTGATGATTTACCTCTAGTTGGAAAATGTGAAAAGTGATTCTCCACCATGGAAAGTGGGTAACTTCCATAAGATCTGCTTCACTTACTGGCCTTTAAAATGGAGGTAGTTTTAGGCTGGGCACGGTAGCTCCTGCCTGCAATCCCATCACTATCGGAAGGCAAGGCAGGTAGATCACAAGGTCAGGAGTTCGAGACCAGCCTGGCCAACATGGTGAAACCCTGTCTGTACTAAAAATGCAAAAATGAGCCAGGTGTGGTGGTGGGCGCCTGTAATCCCTGATACTCGGGAAGCTGAGGCAGTGGAATAGTTTGAACCTGGGAAGTGGAGGTTGTAGTGAGCTGAGATCGTGCCACTACACTCCAGCCTGGGTGACAGAGCAAGACTCCGTCTTGGAAAAAAAAAAGTAGTTTTTTTCTTAAAAATAAAACATACATCTAATATGGTCAGAGAAAACCAACTGAATCACTTTTGGTGACAGTTTGGGGAGGACAATGAAATCCCTCTGCTAAAAAAAACAAAAGGGACCTGTGGGTCATGCAGTTTTAATTTCCTCTATCTTTCTTTCTCTTTTCTTATTCTGTTTAATTTCATGAACCTGCTTCAGGCACAAAGCCTCTCCTGAATCCCTCAGCTGTCTGGCAGATGCATTGCTGCCAGTGCCGCGCAGGTTACTATGCCAGGCTGAAGTTCCACAGCTGTGACTCAATGCACCTTCAAATCCGCTTGCCGGATAACAGTGAAATGCTCCCAGGGGCTCCTGAGAAGGTGGTGGGACAGAAGAGCCACCCAGGAGCTTCTCCAGCCCTTGGAAGAGGGAGGCTGCCGGGGAGTGAGTCCAGTGGCAGCGGGCTCTGGTTTACGTGAGCCGAGGCTGGCCAGGGACCCCAGAGATGCAGGCGAAAGGCTGTGCTGTGAGCCACATCCCTGCTTAGGCCCTCTTCCAGGGGAAGCGAAGTCAAGCCCCGGGAGATGGCAGAGCTTCTCATCTAGAACAATGGCATGATGACATGCTACCCATGTAGCCAAACTCCTCCTCGGCCCTGCACCCATCGGTTCCATCCTGTTCATTTGCCAGTTATTATAGGGGCACCATGGGCAGGCCACACAGCTGGTGCTGTGGAGATGATACATCTTAGTGGAGGAACAGAGGGACTGGCCTGGGGATGGGCGGAAGTGGGGAAACGCCTAACTATAAACCCAAACATCTTAAGATCTGGAGGAGTCACAGGGAAGCAGGACCTTTGATGATGCCGGACATTTCAAGCCCTGCCTCAATGCGCTGACTCAAAATCTTGCTGCTCCTGATCGGTGCTTGCCCCAGGGTTGTAAGTTTCTCCTTACTGGGATCCTTTTTCCAGGAAGGCATGTGGAGTGGGGATGGAGCAGTGCACAGCAGAGTAATAGTCTTGAGAAGACTCAGGCAAGCCAGAGGGAAAAGGCCTCCAGCCAGCAAGTGAGTGGGTGTGTGTGTGTGTGTGTGTGTGTGTGTGTGTGTGTGTGCACGCGCATGCGTGCATGCAAGCTTTCTTGGCCCAGCACTCACTTTTCATTTAAGGACGTCTTCTGACTGCTCTGGGATGCAGGAAGCCACCCAGACCCCAGTTGCTGGACTCGCTCAGAAGCAAGAATGCAGTGCCGAAGGCAGCATGAGGAAAAGCTGGTGGGGGCTGGAACCAGCCCAGCCTGCTTCATGCTACTCTGCTCAAGAGGGCGGGCCCTGCTAGGACTTGCCAATCCAAGTCAGTGCAGCCTGAGGACTCTGCCTGGGCACTGCTGGAAGACTTGGGGACACCCCCAAAGGAGGCAGTTGACTTTCTGGGAGCCACTTGCACAGTGGTGTTGATCACGGCAATCCTGCATGTGGTATTCCACGCGGGAAGGGCAGTTCCACTGGGAGCTCCCCTTTACACAAGGTTTCCACACCAGAGCTCAAATGGACAGCTGTTGGAGTGCTAACTAAAAAAATGAACAGCAGAAACAAACATATGCCCACCAATGACTCCAAAGGAGCTCTGCACCAGCAGGTGCGGGTCCTGATCAAGTCAGGCTAGAAGTCTGATGACCCCTTTACCTGTTCCGGATCCCACGACATCCCGGCTGGGTGACTCGGCCATGGCGTCAGCGAGCCGCTCCCGGAGGCCCTCCTCAGTGTGCTCCATGGAGGACATGTGCCGCAGCCCGAAGCCCTCAGGCCAGCTCCCGCACACCTCCAACAGGGTCACGCTCCGGTCAAAGGTACCTGTGGCACACACGGGACATCTGACGTTGAGTCCACACCTTCAGAGAGCAGGCCGTTCTTGTCTCCCTCCCACCCGCTCCTTTCCATACCCAGGATCCACTTTCGCCTTTCTGCAGGATGGAAGCACACCACGAAACAGCACGTGTGGCGCAGAATAAAGCAGCTCGTGCCGCTGAGAACGCGCAGATCTCTGGAGTGACTTCTGTGACACTGAGGCCGATGGTTTTAAAACTATTTCTGAGGAGCTACAGGGTTCCCCTGGTCTTCGGCGACCACCTCAAGAACTGGGATGGGGGAAGGCAACCTCCTTCCCAGGTTCAACCCACACATCCCTACTTTCCTCTTTTTGATACAATGGGATTCCACCTAAAATTTCATTCAGGGCCAGGAGTGGTGCCTCACACCTGTAATCCCAACACTTTGACAGGCCAATGCAGGAAGACTGCTTGAGGCCAGGAGTTTGAGACCAGCCTGGTCAACAGAGTGAGACCTTGTCTCTACAAATAAATAAATAAATAAATGTTCATGTAAAGAAGGGGTTATATAGCCTCATGTTTTTTAAAGCTTTCTTAACCATTATATCCTATAACCTATAACCAACCTTCTCATTTATCGTTGAAGTTCAGAGGTGTTATGGCCCAAGATCGAACAGCAAGTCTGTGGCAGACAAGGTCCAAGAACTGGCTCTCCTGATGCCTCAGTTTAGAACGTGTTCTACTTCCCCATCTAGTCTCCCAGCTACCCAAGGACAAGTGAACAATCAGTGAACTATTCTGGGGGATACCAGCAAAGAGTTGGGCGATAGCCTCTTCGGCAAGGATCTGTCCTCAAGCCAAAGCTGCTCCCCAGTTCCAAAAAGTATGTGGCGTTCTGCTGAACGCTAAGATTAGATTTTACATGCGAGATCACTTCAAAGTCCGAATTGAAATTATTCTACTTTATTATACAGGAGGTCTTCTGTGAAAGCTTATTTCATCCACTCTCTCTTGGAAGGAGATTATAGTCATGTTCCGTTGCTTTAAGCACACACCATTTCCCCAGCGATTAGGTAACTGAATCCACTGCATTTATTGGGCATGGTTCCTGCCAGCACCAGGAAGATGGGGAAAAAAATGCAAATGCCAACGTTTCCCAAAGTTAAACGTACACGAAACACACACTCTTTATCAGGCCTTGCGTCTCCTCTTTGATCAGCCGTCAGAAACTATCTTCCCCAGGCAGTCAAGACTGGGCAGTGTCAGCACACACTCCCTACCAATGACAGGTGGTAATAGAGAGGGTGCGAGCCCCAGCCTCGGCAGGCGGCCCTGCCTCTGATAATGGCCACAGCAGTGAGGTGATAACCGTTAGTAAACACTCCGACAGCCGGTGACTCCATACATCAGCAAAGAGGGCCAGATAATCCTGAATTCTCCTGGCCAGACAAAGACCCTTGGCCAGCCTGCTGCGATTTATATGTGTGGCAAGGGTCACTACTGGCTCCTGAATTTCATCAGCCAAGTTTGGCTTTGATTTATCTCATACCTAATTGGAGGGAAGATTCCTGGCACTGGGAGAATGGGCAGCATCTGTAAGTGCAACTCCCCAAAAAGAGCCCCTCCTTGGGAGCGGGTTGCTTGGAATCAAGTCGGGTAGGACTTGAGAATGGGGAGCTCCCTATACCACCTCTCTCCATTAAGAAGGGTCAGGCTGTAGATCTGGTAAGCTAGGCGCTGGAAATTGGGGGTGTGGGGCTGGGTGTCAGATGATTCTCCCAGGGCCTGAACTGCACTAGAGCCATGCACTGGCAGTGCCAAACCCAGAGCAACACTCAACCACCCTTGGCAGCAACTCCCAGGTGCCCAGCTCCTTAGGGAGGAGGACTCTGACATACACTAGGTTTTTGATTCTGCTGCCTACTCACTGTGTGCTGCGTGGCCAGTCCTTCTATCTCCTTTTCCAGCTCTAAAGGAGAACGAATAACCCTTTGCCCTGTCACACAGGAGTGAAGAGATTAAGCGAAGTCCCCACTTCCAGCACTTCCCCAGTCTTACTTGACAAGATCTACTGCTACAGTGCTACAGCCTCATCATTTTTCTGAAGGGTCTGCATGGGACACAGGGGCATAATGATAACAAGAACACGTAGGCCCTCCTCCTCCCTGTATACTCAGCTTTTTTTTTGAGACAGTCCTGCTCTGTCACCCAGGCTGGAGTGCAGTGACGCGATCTCGGCCCACTGCAACCTCCACCTCTCGGATGCAGGTGATTCTCATGTCTCAGCCACCTAAGTAACTGGGACTACAAGCACGTGCCACCACACCTGGCTAATTTTTGTATTTTTACAAAATACAACGATTTAAGCGAGCAGATCACTTGAGGCCAAGAGTTCAAGACCAGCCTGGACAACATGGTGAAATCCCATCTCTACTAAAAACACAAAAATTAGCTGGGCATGGTGGCATGCACCTGCAATCCCAGCTACTTGGGAGGCTGAGGCAGGAAAATCACTTGAGCCTTGGAGGCAGAGGTTGCTGTGAGCCAAGACTGTGCCACTGCACTCTAGCCTGGGTGACAGAGTGAGACTCTGTCAGTTAATCAGTCAATCAAAGTTATAGCAAGAAAGAGTGGAGCCAGTCCATAAGAGATGGTAAAGGCCAGAGGGGTATGTACTATTTTAAGGGACAAAGTAACATTACACAGGAGAAAAGAATCATGAGCTAGTAGCAGAGCGGAGGATGGAAACAGGCCTGGGCTTCAGGGTAGACTAATGCCTGTGAGCTGTACGATTCCAGGCATGTGTCTCTGATTCCTCATCCACAAAAATGGAAAAACAATACAACCACACAGGACCGTTGTGAGGGTTGCAGTAGATAAATGTGAAAGACCTGACACACAGTGAGTGTTCTGCACATAAGAGGTGTGTGCATGTATATGTTCTTATTGCAAATATGTATACCTTTATACCGCTTGAGGCACCATCATAAATTTTGACTATCACAATGATCCTGAGAGGTAGTAGAGGTACTATCCCCCATTTATGGTGATGAACCTGGGAGCTCTAAGAGGTCACATGACATGTTGAAAGTCTCTGAGAAACAGATCTGGAACAAGGGTCCCTAATTCTTAGCTTGGAGCTCATTCTATCAGCTCACACACTGTTTCCCTTAGCAGCACCTGTAGTGGAGAATGTTTTGTTTTTTTGAAACAGGGTCTCACTCTTTTGCCCAGACTGAAGTGCGGTGGTGCAATCACGGCTCACTGTAGCCTCACCTTCCTGGGTTGGAGTGATCCTCCCACCTCAGCCTCCCGAGTAGCTGGGATTACAGGTGTGCACCACCATGCCCAACTAATTTTTTGTCGAGACAGGGTTTTGCCATGCTACCCAGGCTGCTCTCAAACTCCTGTGCTCAAGTGATCCACCCACCTTGGCCTCCCAAAGTGCTGGGATTCCAGGCGTGAGCCACTGTGCCTGGCCAAGGACTATTACATGTGTAAACCACTTCTATCTTTCTTGCCATTCTGAGAACTTCTGTCACCTTCAACCAATGACATTTAAAAATCTTTCCCACTCCCAACCAGCCCAAGTTGCTTAGAGTTTGGTGGTAATGACGATGAGTCACCCTGTCTGCTGGATTGCACACGCAAGAAAAAAAAATTTGATAGTAGGTCTATTCTCTCTTACCGTGGGCACAACTAGGAAGTTGTGGATAGAAGATGGGAGATACCAAAAGTGTTCAGTAAAGGAGCACTTGACCATTTCTCCTGTCCTGAGACTTCACAGAGAGGATACAATCAGTGGTCCTGCTTATACTTCTAGGAGTCCCATCAGAGGCTCTGCCATAGCTGCTGTCTCTTTCCCTTCCACCCTTGTAGCCTCTTTGCTGAGAACGGCAAAGGCACTCCTGGAATCTCCCTGTCCTGGAGTAGAGCAAGGCTGCAGGTGTGTTTCAGCAGGCACTGGGGTGAAGAGGCCAAGCCCTTGGAGGGTGAGGTCAACTCCGGGCTCTTAGGAAACTGCACATCTTGTCCGTGTTGATGGCGCAGCTATCACTCATCTGACCAGCCCAGGGACACTCCATCAGATGAGCTGGCCCTTTGAGCCCCATTACAGGGGAAAGGGTCAGTTTCGAGGAGAGAGAAGCTGCTCACTTTAGTGCAGGCTGTTTGCAAAGGACGAAGTAAACAGGCTTGGCAACAAAGATCTTTTGCGGAAGCAGTACTCTACTATTTAGAAAGCCCCCTCACATTTGTCATTTCAGCTAACTCACACATACATCAAACATTGGTTAGTGTCCATTCTGACATGAGTCGAGCACTGTACTAAGGTACAGAGTGAGTTAAAAAAAAAAAAAAAGAGGAGCTTATGTGACTTCACCAAACTATGGGAAGCAGCAGTTATCACTATTTTGTAGATTTCCATCTTACTGAGTTTCAGAGACATGAGGCATCTGGTTCTAAGTGCAGCAGTCTTCCCAGGATATCCCCTGGGGATTCTTTCCTTCAGGGCTGCCTCCTGCCCTGAATACCATTTTCTAAGAATGAGTTCAAGTCTTACCTGCTCAACTACTGAAGGTATAAAGAATACTCTTGCTCAAACTCTAACGGCAGAAAAAGCTCTCTATCTTTCCAGGTAAAGTTGATGAAAGCTAGGCACTTACTCAAAAAATGTGTGCTTGCATATACAAAATTATGCAAGCAATTTTGGGGCATCTATGGATGCCTCTGAAACCTACCTGTGAACCCCAGGTTAATTAGATCATTCCTATGGCCATATTTCCGTACTGCCTTACACTGTTCACATGAACTGCTTTTCCAACTAGTTTAGAAGCTCCAGAGGGCATGAATTCCTCCATAATGAAAACAGGCACAGAACTTTGTACATCATGCTTCCTCAAAACAGGTTCATTTGTTGACTGATTATGACCAGCTGGGAAATCTGACAGTCACTTTGGAGTCAACACCCTTTGGGTGGGGTACCAGAGCCTGAATATCTAGGATCAGAGTAGGCAGAAAATGGAG